TCCTTCTCATAATTGCATTCAGATACTCCGGATACATATTTGCCAGCTCTCATGACCCACTGATGCTATTCCCTCCTAAGGCACTCACCAGGTTTTAGAGAAGCAGCTTTTAACAGCAATAAAGGATTTGCACCGGGTGTATTTAAGACTGAACAAAGACTAAGGGAGAAGCTCTTTTACAGCACAAGTTTGGGCTTTTATCTTTTTCAAAGTAGGTATTCCAGTGGGAAAAGGTAAAATAGTAATTCCCCAGGCTTATTCTTTGACAAGCATTGCTTTGATTGGTGATTGAGACCCATGCTAAAACATTCATTTATGACAATTTAGGGGGAGAGCAGCACCCCTCCATGACTAATGTATTTAAGTTGGAGTGGGTCAGCATCTCCAAATCCAGGGTGACCGAGAGCTGCTGCTTGCTGCTGAAATCATCCTCTACCGAGTTTATGGGAGAGGGAACTACCAAACCTCGATGCCTCAGGCTTGTTTTCACAAGGCATGTGCAGAGGGGGTTTTTGGGGGCACCTCCTGTGGAGTTCTGTGCCTTGTCTAGGTCTCTCTGAGTCTCCTGCCCTACCTTTCTAGGCTTTGAGGTGTCCATAGTTAGCCCCACATGCTGGTGCGCTGCACCAAGCTAATCATTGGCACGGAGAGAAAGGATATTGTCAGAGTGCAAAATGATCTGTTTTCAGGCAGGAAGCAGTCAACTAGATGTAAATTCCATGAAACAAAAGAAGGTATTATTTACAGTTTTATTGTGATGTTAATTAATATTTACATCTTGGAATGAAAAATAGAAATGTTAATGATTGGCTTTACTAAGAGGATCACTTGATGCCAATGTGAAAGCCAGGGAGAGAAGGCAATTATGCAAACATCACATGCATCCTAATTTCAGTATGGAAACTTACATTTCAAACCTCAATTCAGGAAAATAACATGGAAAGTTTGTACTACAAAATCTAAACATGAGAAAGATTTAAGAGAGAGAAAAAAAAAAAAGCACATTGCATATGTCAGATAATCTAGTCTGATTATCTGAGCTGTGCTAGCTACAGGGAAGCACTTACCCTTGAGTCCAGCTAGAAGTTAGCAGGGTAAGAAGGAACAAACCAGAATAACATAAAGACTAGCAACAAGGCTCAGGAAAGCAGACAGGAGCCCTAACCTAGCAGCTAAATATTTGGGTTCAAGCAAAGAATGAAAAATAAAATTAAAGAAAACCAAACCAACAAAAAAAACCCCACTTACAGCTGAAAATTTCTTAAGCAGCTCAATAAACCTCACTACTTAGTACGGGGGAACAAATCATTACAAATTCTCAAAACAAGCAACTCTTTGTATATGGTGTGATTAACAATCATTAAATATAAACAGACATTAAAAAATGAAATATAACCACGAGTGATACGTAAAACAAGTACAGACCAATCTTTCATGTTAAAAAGAAAAGGGGTTTCAAAAGAAAAAAAATGAACGTTGAGCATGTTTGGGAATTTTGTTTGATGCATCACTAACACAGAACGAAGAAAGATTGGTGCTTTCAGACAAGTGACCACTTTTATGAAGCTTAAATATTGCCAAAAGGTGTAATATGTATTGGCAGCATTATTGACTATAATACTGTGCATGATTTCAACAGTAAGCAAGGAGAGTTTTGGGTTTTTTCTTTTATAATGCGAACATTGGAGAAAAGCACAGCTTTGCGTGAATGGAGTTTTTCTTTTAAATTGTAGCAAAATAAAAAAAAGCAAAACTTTTCACTCTAACATTTATTGTTCACCCACATAAAATGGACTGTAGAGTCATACAAAAATTAATGAATAGCAGGATCTATTTTTTTCAGTACTTAAATTGCAAATAAAATAAACTCCACCCTGGTTCAGAGCTGTCTGTTTACTTCTAAGTCAAGCGCTGTTATGGAACTGTGGATGAGAATTTGAGTGCTGCTCGAAGTTTGTGTTTACAAAGTCAAAAGAGGTGGGAACCAAATGAGTTCACTATTTCTCCCAAGTTTCCCCAACAGCAAAATATGTTCTTCTCAAGTTTCTGTTTAACAGACAGCTCCATCACAGGAGCGGAGGGCTGGATTTTCTCTGCATGTGCATGCACGCGCATGTGCCATCTCGGACTGCTACAACATGAAAGCTATAACAGTTACTTGTTAAATGGCTTAACATTTACTTCTTTGCACATCCTCATTCACCATAGCCTCAAATAAGCACAAAAAAAATATGACAGGTATAAAGATAAATGTACAAGAATAAAATGTGTCGCAAATGTTCTTACCTTTCTGCAGGCAAAAAACCAAAACAAAACAAAGCTAAAAAACCCAAGCCAAAAAAACCCAATAACCAAGACCTTTTTAAAAATGCAATACTTGATATGTTTGAATTTCAAGACTGAAGGAGCCAAGACACATCTTAGTGCATTTAAGACGCCCAATAAGCCATCATGTGTGACATGCATGACTCACTTCTGCTTCTGATTATTTAACTGCTGCGCCCAATGACTTTTGCAAAGAGCATTGCCACGTACAAACTTTGAAATATGAAAAATGAGCAGCCCTTGCTGTTGAGATGAAGGCGTACCATGGTGTGCTGCCCTCCTCCTCTCACAGGATGAAGGTCCTGTGCACAAAGAGCTTTCAGAGGAATCTAGATCCAGGAGGGGAGGAGGAAGGAAGACTGAGGCCAAAATGCACTCTTCACCTAGCCCAGAGGATGCTGCAGTAGCAAGTCAGCATCAGAGTGAGGAGCTGGCTTGTTTCCCCCTTCCATGCTTTGGCACAACTCAACCAAAAGGGTTTCCCAGTGCCTGCAGCAAAAAAGAGGAGCCTGAAGCTGCCCAGCTTGTGGGGAAGACATGATGGAAAGAGGGTGGTGGCATAAAAGAGGCTGAATGATCTGGTTTTGAAGTTGCTATTGGCATGAGAACAAGTGAGAGGAACTGAGGTCAGATCTTGACCCCTCGGACGGTCTGCAGGGACGAGGGTGTGAAATCTCATCTGTTTTCACCAGAATCAAGGATGAGGGATCCCTGTCTCCTGGCAGGCAAGGGAGATGGAAAAAGCAAGGTCAAACCTGTGGTGTTTCTATAGCTCTCAGCACAGTCAGGTTGGTACAGGTCTGCAGGACCACAAGCAGCACAAGTCTCTGGTGGACATGATGGGTTGTGGTTAGGTGCAGAGAGGAATCCTGGGCTCAGTCACTGACTTTCCTGCTCCCTGTCAAGGACTGGGACAAGGCAGCTGTCTCTTCTCCATCCCATGTAACCTATGCAGGGGGGTTCAGCTCTCCCCACACACACAGCGCTTGGTTGTGCATGGGGTCAACACACCCAAAGGTCCTTGGCCCCAACTATCCCCTTTCCCTTCCCAAACTCCTGGAAGTCTGGAGGGAAAGGTGCTTCCCCAGTTTGATGTTTGCTTGCTGTCCTCATCCTAATCCTCAGGGATCATGCTGGGATAAGGAAGAGCACATCCTCTTTGCACCAACCACAGCACATAGTCAACAGCAGCATCCTTCAGCACTGCTTGTTAGAGGAGGGACCACAAGCAGCATCCCTCTGCCTCTCTCCCTTGCTACACTTCAAAGGCTTTTAGCCTGTAAAAAAGCACCCGTAGAAGGACCGGGGCCCGCTACATCCAAAAACCTGGGCAGAGACACACACAACCCCTGGGAGTGCTCTCAGGTCAGCAGGACTCAGCCAGGTCTCATCACAGCCAGTAAACCTCCCACTTGCAAGAGCCCAATTCCAACCTCCCATGTCAGCTTTCTGAGAGGCATCCTTCCTTCCTGACCCAAATCCTTTACATCTTGCACCCCCAAAGTCAGTGACCTGATGAGAAGCATGAGGGTCACCGAAATGAGAACACTATGTGTTTACCAGGCTGCATCATGCTACGTCTCACTCACAGCAGCAGCAATGCAAGGCAGAAGGAAGTCCAAAATATGCAGGATATAAACCAAAAAAAGCAGCAAGCAGAGGTTTTCTGCTGTAACATTGATCATACAGCTGTATGTCTTGCATTGTTATTTTCTATAAATACTGACATGAGGAAATTAAACCAATATAAAAGATGGTCAAATTATACTGGTAAACAAGGGGCAGATTTTCCAAGTTCCTTACAACAAAACACTCCATAACAGCTTTACAGAGACTATTTTAAATGTTAAAAGCTGATTTAATTAGAAGAATTTACTAATATTTACGGCTTTCCCATATTTTCCTTGTATTTAATTATACTAGTTCTTAAATTTTGCTGAAACTAGCAATAACTGCTGTACGTTACATAACAAAAAGGTTTGAGACGTGTGATTGAGACCTTCAAGAAAAATGAGCGAGGAGGCATTTGTCTGGTTTATAACCAAATTACATTTGCAAGACAAAAGAAATTGCTCTAAATTTCAAATTAAGCAAACTGGGTATAACTGCACAGGACATGCAGCATCACTACAACTTAAAAGATGATTGCTTTAAATTCACATCTAACTGGCCTGCAAAGCAACCTGTTAAAAATACCATATGTTTTCCTACAGTTGAATATTCAACAGGAGACCTCTTTTTGTGTGTGCATTTCATACTTGCAAGTTTTGCACCTGTAGTTCTGAGCACGTGATGCATTTGACAGACAGCTAATGGCGCTAATGAATCGCTCTGATCTGGGTGTGCAGTTTATTGTGTGGGGGTAAAATGCGTGTCTGCTAAAAGCAAGCTGGGTCTCAGGCTCTCAGATCCCAGTCTCTCCTCCATCAAGTATTGCACTTTAAAATATTCACTGACGAGTTCCCCAAGGAATTTTGTTTCTTGGGTTTGGTTGTGCTAAACACACAAGTTAACTGCTTCTGGATCCACTGATGTAAAAAGCAGCTTAATGATAATGGAAAAAAAAAATAAAATCATTTTGGAATCAGAAACATGTGTGCAAATATTGATTTACATCAGTGCAGAAAATCTTTCCATCAAAGACTTCTGCTCTCTAGGAGAACTTAGTTACTTACAAAATTGAGAGATTGGGGCGTCTAGCTGGGGCACGTTTCCTCCTTTAGCATTTAGCTTTTGCACCTGGGTAGGCGGCACAGGTTTGTGAGACTGGCCGGTGGCTCGGTACATGGCTTGGACCCAAAGGATACGGTCCTGCTCATCGTCACTTGCAAAAATCACCGTGTCTCCTTCTTTCACAGCGTTGAAGAATGCTCTGCCGCCCTCCAAACCTGCCAGGAGAGGAAGCAACAACCGAGTTTCGCAGACTTTGAGGCCAGGCAGGGGGATCTCCCCCAGCTTCCCACCCCACCACCGCCCTGGGTGTCCCCCCAGCCAGCCCCACACCGCCCCAGCTCCTGGTTGAGCTCAGTCCCCTCCCCTGCACCAATCTCACCTGCAAGAGAGCTCGCCAGGTCCCCAGGTAACATCCTGTGCTGTGATTATTAAAACATGCTCCAACACGCTTGGATTAATCGCTTCTCTCAGCTACAGCCCCATCAGTGTAGGTCCCATGCAGATTGCATCACTGGAGCCCCATTAAAAATGAGTTTTGAGGGGATGTGGTCAGAGGTTTCCCATTAAAGTGAGTGCACCAGTGCTCACGCTGCACAAAAGGTGCCTGGGTGATGTGCTTATTCCTGTCTTTGCCCTGATTCAGCACCCATCTTCCCATCTCCCTAACCTCAGAATTAACCTGGAATCAAGGTCCTGACAACCAAACTACTGTATCTTCCTTCATTTCCTCTGGTGATACCATTATCCAGGGCACAGTGAGGATCACCATGCTCAGCGTGTTGCACCACTGAAATAAAAGAAACATGGTGCTCCTCCACTTGAAGAAGGGTCTCAGCACCATGTACACAGCAGGTACCTCCAGGTACCAGGGGGCTTTCTGCCCCTGCCCCTTCCACTCACTCAGATCTGTCAGAGAGAAAATGGGGCAGGCAAAACCCTGTGCTGGGCCCATAAATATTTTCTACAGTAAAGACTGGCATAGCTGCTAACCTTTTATTTAGGGAATATAATATGAAGGCACAGGTTAGGATCATCACTCGATTTGAGCATTCAGTTCACAAGGAAATTTCACTGGGATTTAAGTGTCTAATTCACTTAAGTTCCCCAGAAGAGATGAGTCTTTCCCTCCTCTGGTGCAACTCCTAGCTCAATTCCTTAGATCTATTTATAGGAAAGTCATGCATAGCTAATGATCAGTATAAACACAAACATATTTAGAATAATGCTGATCACAGTTCAGCTGCAAGCAGGGAGGGAGAGAGGACTCCCGTTTGGGAGCCGTACACAGCGTGGTGAGCATCAGCACCAGCGGCACAGCCGCAAGCCATCGCGCCCCGTACCTGGCTGTGGGTCAGTGTAGTCCACAGTGTATCCATCGAGCTGCAGCAGCTCTTGAGGTTCAGCTTTTTTCTCCCGGTAGCTGCACATAGCAAATGTATATTGACTAACCTGAAGAAAATCACAAAGCTAAGATGGCACCAGGTGATCACGACAAGGCAATTCAAAGCACTTACAAATGCCGTACACTGACGGTGTGTTTACAGGGATTGGGGGTGGTGGGGTAATTTTGATGGTCATTGCCCATACGAGACAGACTAAACTTTATATCAGGCTTTTGCAAAGCTCTCTCTTAACACATCCTGCTGTGGCAGGCATCTAATTCTCTGCATCAGTACATACAGCGGTTTAATTTCCTCCAAAAGAGGAAGCTCCATGCTTTAAAACCCTCTATCATTCATCCCCAGACAAGTGCAAGAGTGACACCCTGTCACAAACAATGTGAGCTAAATTGCTAGGTGCCAGTCATATTAAAGCAATCTTAAGATCCCACTGATCTCGGCAGTTGTTGTCATCAGTGCTGTAAATGGCAGCTCTCACTCCTCTGAGGTACCATCTGCATGACACGATACATTCAATGTCAAGCTCTTGACGAAGCCAACTCAGCTGCAGGGGCTCTTCCAGGCTCCCGAATCGCCTTTAGGAGGCCATCAGGCTGCATCAAGACCCTGCGCGTACTTGGCGTGCTGCAATCTGGATGGTCAGCGAGAAGCTCGTCCAGGGAGGAGAGAAGAGGAGAGGATTCTCCGTGCCCCAGGCTAGGAACTCACGGGGAAATTTACTGTCAAATGATTTCAAATGACTTTGTTAAGGTTGTGTCACATCCTGGATGCCTGACGTAATTTTATTAGTCTGGACATTTTCTTGACCTCTGGAGGAAACTTTAAAACTCTGGTGGGTGGCAATGGATCATGCTCGTCATTTTTTGGAAGTCAGGAGAGATCCTAAATGATAGGCAAGCGGTTAGGCTGGGGAATTTTGCCTCCAAATTCCAGACAAATGGCTCGGCTACAAATACACATGCAGTACCTATTCTGGTGGTATCTATCGATAATAAAATGTCATTTATTTAATTCAGGGGACCCATCTATTGGCGTATCATCACCCAGCCGGCGCTTGGTTTATTGCTGCCCTCTATGGGCTTCTGCAAGCTGCCAGCCTGCTCTCAGCAGCCCTGCCTGCACCGTGCCTTCCTCCAGGAACAGCTCCAAAAGCCACCTAAGAATAAACCCTATCATTAACACATTTGTGGGAGTAAGACTTAAAAGTGATGCTTTAAACATCTTGCATCCTCCTCAAAACTACCAGCACTGACGAAAGATTGACAAGTAACAGACCAATAGCAGGAGCACACCAGTGTATATTCTATGCTATGAACTTTGAATGCATACCATTGTACCGGCAACACAGAAATTAAAAAGATTAACACGAAGAAATCTAAAAATATCCCAGTGCCCCACAGCACAACATTCAGACGACTCCTGCAGTGTTCACTCAGCGGTACTCGCAGTATATTGCTGCCATCTCCTGGAGAAACTCTTGAATGTGCTTTATTTACAGTAAGATCCCGGAGATTTCATCTGAGGATTTGGTTTCTCTGTGTTAGACAGCCTGAACTTCAGGGACTCCATGATAAATTTAATTCCTGAAATGAGTCAGTGCTAAGCTACATTGACATTGATTGAAAACATTAATACAACTAATGGTTTTTCCTGTTGTCTACACTCTAGCAACAGGTAAAATTCATTCAGTAGTTCGGTTTCTTATTCTCTGACACAGAACATGAGGTCTGAATTTCAGGCTCTTAATTTACAAATAATTCATCTTACCTTTGGACAAAGAAAATATTCTTCATCCCTATCAATAAGCCAACCACACCAACACTACACTAATGTATGGAAACACACACGGGCATTTCAGAGCTTATACCTCTCATGTTAAGTTATAAAAGACATGTAGACCGTAGGCTCCAGTGGAGCCATCCTGGGATAGATGCAAAGCAAATTAGTCTCTCCTGTTAGCATTCACATGAGTTCCTTGGAAGAAGTTGATCTACATCACTATTAGAAGAGAACTCTAAAAGAAAACTACAGGTCAGTCTACAACGTGCGATGAGCCAGGGCTCACCTAAGTTCACGTTACTCTCATAGCTCAAGTCTGGAGCCCAAGCTCAGGATTGCTCAAGAGCCTGCTGGTAGGAGGCACACCAGGATCAGGCTGGATGGAGGAGGCAGCTATGAATGGTCTCTGGAAAAAGTGCCAATGGTGCCATGCAGCGTCTCTGCATCGAAACAACTCCAGCTACTGACCTCAATGACTGCTATACCAGCCTGTCTGCCCCCTCCTGCTGCCTAAAGCATCTACTGCTTGGAGTCAGAAGGAAGCTGATGCCCTGGCTACTGCTGTAACGTGGCTCCTTCCATTTACAAGTGGTGGCAAAGCAAAACCCAACAAAACAAGATTCTAGAAAGCTTGATAAGTCATGATCGTGCTTTGCTGCTGAACAGCACTGTAGGGTTAAGTGGAGATTGCAGCTTGTCTTTCGTCAGTCCTCTAAAATATTGTGCTTTACAGAGTCTGTTTTCTGTAGAAGCTTAGAAGTGGCCAGACAAGTGAAACAGTTAATAGCAGAAATTAATCTTACAGCCTGCTGAGTTCACACCGAACCATAGCTGAGTATGAGAGCGAGCGAGCAGATGGGATGGGCAAGATGAATGGTTTGAGTAATTGGAAAAAACACAGATACAGAGAAGAAACCAAAGGAAGACAGAGGAAAAATCTCTGCCCAGTCAGGGACAAATTCTCAAAGCAGCTGGGATTTCATCCAGGGACTCGATGAGGGCCAGGAAAGGAGCAGCTAAGGAAGCTGAACTGAGTAAAACTAAAAGAAAGGGAATAATCCAAGGCTGCCCTGGCTGGTTCACTACAAAAAAGGGAAAACACTTTGAAATAATTTGAGACAAAAGAACAGAAGGAAAAGAAAGTGGAAAAAAAAAAAAAAAGAGAAAAAGACAAAGAAATTCAGGAAAGGGAAAGCAGACAGCAGGAGACAAATGCCAAAGTTCACTATTCCCATGCTGCTAAATTAGACCTGACTTTCTTGGCACTTGACCATATTCTGTCACCAGCTATATAATCTGACTGATTAATAAATACAGTAGATATGTATTAACCAGTCCTGACTTCATCCTTGTTTTTCCACCAGAGACTCCTGCTCTAGTGAGCACCACTTTCCCCAGGATCCTGCTCAAACCTGTTAATTGTCATCCCCCACACTCCCAGCTCAGTCACTCACCTCCCCCTTCCTCACTGCTGACATAACGCCGCCCCACTTGGGTTAAATTCTTAAATGGACCTTTCTAGATTAACAGCATGCATTTTGTCCCAAGGGAGAGAAACTGTGCTAAGATACTGCCAGCTGTAATACAGCTTTTCCACTTTGATGAGGAGACTCTTGTCCTCTGGTTGCAGCTGTATGTTGCCTCCTGAGCCCTTTCCTGACACAAATGAGCAGAGGAAATGATCTAGCTTAAAGAAACAAATGTGAAAACTGTTGTTTTCACATCTCGGCACATCCATTCAGCCCTAAACAACTGCACACAGCAGTTGTCCTAACTTCTTCCTTCAAGCAGGAGGTGTGTGTGTGCTCTCCTCAGGCAGGCAGGGCTGCCTGATGGAAAGTCATCCCACGTGAGTATGGATGGGACATGCAGGACCTACCATAGCCAGGTGTAACGAGCTGTGGCATCTGTTTAACCACCAGTTCCCAAACATTTCATATAAATCAACACTCAGTTTCCCAAGAATCACCACCTATGTCCAGTTCTCAGTGAGGGTCTAACTGAAAACATGATTTAACATGATTACAGGAACCTGCTATCATGGGTCATTTACCTTGACTTGAGGACCACAGGCTAGGACTGCTGGTGTAGTATACTGCAATTTTGCTGAATTATTTTCAAATTCTGTTGGTTATTTGGAGTTACTGAACACTTACTTAATTTCATTTTATCTCAAGTCAGCTGAGTTTTGCTAAAAGCAGGAACTGTCACTGTTAGTCTAAATTATAATGAGTTCAGGGAGTCTGTCACTAGAACAATAGATCCAGGCGTAGACACTGCAACTGGTTTTAATCTGCAGAGAGTTGATCTGGTTCCAACAACATTCTGCAAACACCATCAGACACAATCAGCCAAAAACTGCTTCAAGCTACTCAGCAGACATGTCATCCAGGTACCATGGAGTGTTACTTCCCATATGCTGCCAGAGCACAGAAATGGGGTTATGACAAGAGAAGAACAGATTCAGTTTGAAATCTCAACGTAATTAATTCACTTGCCCTTAAGAATCATTATAAGAAATGTCCTATCACAAAGCCAGCAAACCCACCAGAACCAACAGTAGTGTTGTTGCCAGTACAGCACATTAGACCTTGCAAAGAATTAATACAAGCTCTGTCAGCTATCAAAAATCCCAGCTTTTGCATGATCAAGGGTCTAACTGGCAAACTGGCTGAAATTTGTATGCCGTGCTCAGGCAGCTGATATAGCAACTTAGGGAACACTTACAACATCTGTGAGGGTTGTACAATTTCTTTCCTAACCAGACATAGAGAACTTTGCCCTAAATTGCTCCATTGCTTTCGCTTACCACTGCCACTGGCATTACTGTTGCCTTTACGAAGCATTTTCCTCACTTGTGATGCTGCGGACCATTTCCATCCAAGCTCAGGGCCATATTCTGCCATCACTTTCACACTGCATATCTCAGGATTTAAAATTAGGCAAGTAACGAGTCTCTGCCATGTAATTTACATCTAATCAGTATTCTGCTCTTCTGCTGCTCATCTCAAAGGGTGTCTACGAGAAGGGTGGGCAGCGTGCAGAGAGGACTGCGATTCATTCGAAAGAGAAAACTATCCCCTCTGAACGCACATGCTGGAGGAGCATACACACCAGCTCTGCCAGCCGTGCCACGCTGTAAACCTTCCCCAAGGGGTTGAACCAAGTCCACTTGGCAACATCTGCGCCAGAGAGGTGAGACCCAGTTCTAGAAACAGCACAAAGGAACAGCTCTCACCCACTACACCCAAACAAATCATCTCCTCTCCTGTACAACCCTCGCAGCTACACAGACACAGAAGGTGCGAGGGATTATTCCACCCAAATTACAAGGCAGTTATTGCTCCTTTCCCCTTCTCTCCAGGGCTTACACAAGCCAAGTAGCACTGGAAACGCTCCCTGCACAGCTCCTTTTTCTACATACGTGCACAAAGCCTCTGTTCATACTGGCGAGGCATCACTGACACAAAAGAGACAAACTGCCATCAACACCTTCCTCCTTGGAGCCGCCCATGCAGTTTGGCACCTTTGTGCCTTGTTTAGATGGTTATGAAGAGTTTGAGTATTTATTACCATGAATTTCTTAACCGCTGGTACCAGAAGGCAGAGTGGTACCACCCAACAGTGCTGGAGGAACGGAGGCTGCGTCCATCTGAAATGGGGGAAAAGGGGCAGGAGAGGGCACAGGACCAGGAGGAGGAGGAGGTTACTTCGCAAGGGAGAGAGGAGATGGAGGTGTACTAGAAGATGCTACAGGTAAGGGACAGAGACAAGAGATCAGAAAGGAAACATTTAGTTATTAATCCGAACTTACAGCCTTGCCCTCTTGGCAGTGTCACGGACTGACCAGACCACTACATACCAAATGGACTTTATGATTTGGACTCCATCTCTTGGCTCTAGTGCAAGCAGGAGCCCAGTGCAGGCGAGTGAGCGCCTGAAACAGGGCCTGCTCCTTGCCCATTCTTTATGTAACTGAGCCAGCTCACCTTCCTGCTGAGGTTATTCTCTGTCTGCAGTTTAGCAGAGTTCAGAGCATCCTGGACATCAACACCTTTGCTGCCAATCCCTGTTCGTATCAGCACCCATCCTTTGCATTGCATGAAAAGCAAATGACAAACATACGGACAGCAAAGTATTTTTATTCCATCTTTATTGCCTGCTGACATGTTCAATATGCTCAAACTACATCTAAGGGACTGCATAGAGAGTGTTTCTTGTTTATATTTGATGTACGGCAGAACACTTTACATTGCACCAAATGTTGAGCAAACGGTAACATAACAGAGAAGCTGCAATGGCAGCTGGAATTTCTGAGGTGGGCTACAGAGACTCTCTGGGGGCAAAAGTCTGCTCATCTTATTCAAATGAATTGCTTTTCTGGCCAAATTCTGTTCTTATATGCCAACTGACGAATACAGACCTAGTAACATGAGAAAACATGGAATAACTCTGAGAGAGGCAAGCTGCAGAATACACAACAACTGAAAACTAGAGAAGTGACTGCAAAGAAAGGCCAGAAGAAAGGCTCCTTCAGAGAGAGACATAGACACAGCAATTCACATCCAAACCTGCAAATCCCCACACATAAGAGTATCAATAGATTTATTTATGGGAGAAGCTGTTTTAGGAAAGAGGATTCTCTGCTTTGGAGACTCCCTGTTCACAGGGAAAACGGGACTGAGAACTTGGTCTAATAAGAATGAACCCGCTCGCAGGCAAAAGCGGTACTAGTTGCTCTATAGGTGACCACAGTCTGCCACAGCACTTTTAACTTCATTTCGGAACATAACAAAGGAAACACACAGACAAAAGAAATCCCTCAATCCCTACCCAAGAACAGGGTCAGTGCATAATATTCCCAAAAGGCCCTACCTTCATTATGGCCTCTGCTGCTTCTTACCCAGGAGACAGTTTGGGATTTACCTCCAGTGGTCTAGAGCTCTGCAAGACGCTGGGTTCCTCTGCGAGGTGCCAAGCACCCTACCTCACCAGGGACCTGGCCAGACCCTGCGCAGAGGGTGTTTGCAAAGCAGATGCTTCTAGGAATGGATTACACAGATCCTAAACCCACGACTTTTATCTAAATCTAAATATACTGCTTGGGTGGATAGAGGCATCTCCTGTGGCTGCTCTACACTAACTCCCCCACTTCATTTTGACCCCATTTGAAGTACAAAATGTGCAGTTAAACTGTTGCTGCTGATCACACATGGTTATTGGACTAGGTACTCAACTGGTCTATCCAAATGGACTCCTACTTACATGGGGTCACACACATCATAAATCCCTTTTACCTCCCCAGGACAGATTTTCTTGTTTGCCTCACAGTTTAGCAGTATGGAAGCCATTAGTGATGGACAAATGGGGAATGCAATTAAGCTTCCTACTGAGACAGTTGACCTTGGAGTTATAATTAACTCAGAACAAACTAACCAGTTTACACCAGGTGATTTAGAAACAGAGAAGCCAGCTGTGTAAGGTGGAAGAGACTCCTCCCCTTACTGGCACAGGAGAGCCAGCACACAAGCATGCTCCATCTCAAATGTGGAGCCTGGTGCACCTGGTTTACACCATCTCAGTTCTTTCACACGGGTGAAATCCCAGACCCTCTGTGACAGACCTGCCATCTGCTTCATCGGCAGTAGAATTTCACCCTCTGACTTGATCACTTTGCATCTGTGCTGGCACAAGATCTCAGTTGGATCTCATGTTCTTCTGCTACAGCATCTGTGTTGCTTTCACCACAGGACCCTGCACACAGATTTTATTTCTCATATGTGGAAACAACATACCCTGGGGAACCCAGAGAGGAGAGAGGGAGAGATGGACCCAAGAGGACTCTGTAGCTTTATGAGGTTGGTGTGAAGATGGAGCTGCTCAAACTGGGGCCCCACACTTCTGTTGTCAATGCAGTGGTTTCAGCTGCCCTTGGGAAGGTGAGGAAAGATCTAAAACACCAAGTACTGACCAGATCCTTTTAGGTCACAGAGGACATCTTCTACCTATTTCCTTGAAATTCTTAACCATGGTCAAATATACAGGTCTACTGAAACTGAGAGGGCAGGAAGTGAAAGAAAGAAAAAAGGAAAAATGGAAGAGAGACATCGCAAAATGATTGATGAGAGCTGTAGACAATGAGAGGCAGTAATGAACATGAAGGCAAGATAAACGTCAAGAATGATAAACTGACTGATGTAGTCAGTGATAGAACTTCTGTACATTGCAATGGACTTCAGATTTTACCTGGAGGCTCAAAAGGAAGCATTTGCACCCAAGTACCTCCAGTCAAGACAGACAGAGCTTCTTTCTCATCTCAAATTCCTCACTAAAATTGGTTCTCCATTTCACCAAGCATTCATGTGCATCAGGAAACTCATGGCTAGACGTCTGCAACTGGGATATCCTTGAGAAGATGTATATGTTTAGAAAAAACCCCATGGCTTGACAGACACTCTATGCAGAACCACAGCTCAGCATCAATTACACAGCACTGAAAATGGCCAGAGGAAAGACTTAAATATTTAATGTTGTGATTTAAGATCACTTCTAGTTAAATCTGTTACCTGGACCAGGACAAAGAATCGTTTCTTCCATCTCTTCCAAACATTTTTACCAATGGCCCATAAATACCTAGGAGAAAAAACAGGTGAATTCAGTACACGACTGACTAGATGTTGTTCTCCTGCTTTTCAGTATGTTCTCTTTACACCCAGAAACTGAAGTTAATGTGCAACCAGGAGTAATTACAAGACTCTTAAGCTCAGCACCATTCATGAATGTGTTTATTTCTAGCCTGAACAAATAACCTGTAAAGAAAGTGACAAAAAAAGCTCCTAGAGTCTTGATGTTACACAGTATGAATTCTCTCTTCCTCTTTGTCTTTCACAACTTGCTCAGAATTTAGAAGCCTTTTAGTGCCAGTGAAGAGCTACGACATGGTCGGATGGGTGAAGAATACATTTGCAACGGATGAATTAAGGGACAGAAACCTCAAGTGTTGCTTTAAGTCTTCATCACAAAACCATTTGGCTGAGGGGAACTGTCAAACAGAGGGATACTTATTACATCAAAAACAGTGCCTGGGATCCCAGTATCTACTGGACTGACTAAACCAGGCCTCTTTGCTGAACAGCTTAAGATTAATTCCTAGAAATCCCTTGGCAACAGATATTCAAGCAAACTGAATAATTGCTAAGGAAGATTGAATTTACGCTTTCTAAAAAGGAAAAATTAACTTTTAAAATTAATGTCAAAACCAGTATTTAATCTCTGTGATGAAGTGGCCACTGTGACAGTGTAATACAAACACTGGCAAAAATCGTGGCAGCACCAGACTAACGAGAAGCACAATGACATTATTCAGCACTAATATGTTTTATGTATCATTATAATTAGTTTAGTTCTGGCTCAATATATAGAAAAACAATTCCTTTTTGGTTACACTAGTGTTTTCTTATGCCAGAAGAGATCAAACATACTCTTGGTGAATGTTTAAACCACAAAACTCCAAGTCATGCTAACGCGGGCACTGAGTCCATGGCTATTTCAAGAACTGGAAAATAACTGTCCTTTTTGCTATTGCCACTAACATCAACAGATAGACAATCCCAATTCTGATAATAAACTAGTATTATAAACCACCTAGTTTTAAGCAGCATCTTGTGAATCAGATGTTAACTGAAGAAGGCCTGAGAAAAGCCAGGGCTGCTCAGACCTGTTGCTATCAGCTGCGGTCAAGGAAACAAATATGACAGGTGACCCGTCCGTCCCTTCTTGGTGTTGGTGCCTGTGATCATGGTGGAAACATTAAATTTCACATGTGGTTGTTGGCTCTGATCTCATCAGCAGAGAAGACAGGAGAAGGAATTAAAAGAAAGATGAGTGATCCAAACCACCTAATAATGGATTGAAACTAAGAAAATACTATGAAAATAAAACTGGTATTAGCTAGATTGTCCCAAGGATGATATAATTTGTAATTGCACAGCACAAAGGTGGAAGCCAGGGGTGGTGGTCAGGGATCCCCTTGGCCCCAGATCCTCTGACACTCACGTTTGGAGGGGAGAAGTTTCCCTTTTAACCTTCCAGATCATTAGTCCTGCTCCAGGCAACTGCTATTTAATTGTGCTGTGTATCTCTGTATAAATAATGACAATCACACTGGAGTTTATTTCAAGCAGATGGTGCACTGTGCTTTTGATTCTGAGAAGTCAATAAAGGGAAACACAGAATAACTTAGGAAATTATACCATTCTCAATAAGAGAGTCAGGCAGTTCACCTATTATTTCCTTACAGGATAAAAAATAACCTAGCAATTTCCTGTGGAATACTGTTTAAAATTTAAACTGTTTGGCTGATACGCATTAAGAAAATTATGCTAAGGATATGGAAAGTGCATTATAAATGACTGAACTAATGCCATTTTTATATTTATCTTTCTTTTGACCTCCTGTGAACTTGAGAAAAAGTTTCTCTTCAAAATCTTCAAAAAGAGACATTTTCCAATGCACATTCAAAACACATTGAGTTCAGATCGAGACAAGCAGTTACCCAGAGTGCTTCATGTTTTGAGGCTTATCCATTCGCACAGCAAGCTTGATCTTCAGGTCTTGATCCGGGCAGTTTTTGGAAACAGTCATTTTGTGCCACTCTGATTGCTTTGGGCTGTTGGGAGTAGGGTGGAGAACAACCTGCAAGTGTCGAAATCAACAATGTTAAAGGGAAAAATTATTCACAAAATGGATGGAAAAAAAAAGGCACATCAGATGAGCTACTTTTCCCCTAAAAGTCAATCTGGAAATTTCTATTAACATCAGTGAGGATGGCTTTTTATTGCTTTTTAAAAATAAAGCTTATTATTTTGAGATTAGTTCATAAATTCTTTGGCTCCTCTATCTACCATGACCAGCATGGTCATGACCAGCATGGTAGATAGTGGCTGCAGGACGCTCTGCTTCCATTTCACACCACGAGGAAATGATGGGATGGTCTCCAGCTGGGGTAAATCAGTGCAACACCAGTGACTGCAGTGGAGCTGTGCAGATGAACACCAGTGGATCATTGCTGTGCTTTTCCCACTCACCCATTACCTCTACAAAGCAGAGCAACTCCCTCAGGCGCTGAGCCACAGAGTATTCTCCTAGAGCTGCACCACATCCACCATCTTCTCCTGGTGTTTCCACGTGTGTCCTCTGAGATGGCTTAACCTTCTCCCTCCTACACCTACACATTCCTCTTCTGATGCTTTCATTCTCAGAGGTGGCTTTTTGACTGGCACAAATTCATTCAGATGAATCTCCTTTGGATCCATTAACCTTTACGCAAGCAAATTATTTTACAAATGGCATCATTCACCCTTGTTATTTCCTGTGCGACCATCACTCATTCCCCACTCAAGTTTAGTCTGTGCTCCTGCCAAACTCCAGCCCAGCCTATAACCTTGTATTCCTCTGCTCTTCAACTCTACTGCTGAGTCAACAACCTAGGGGCTGTTTTCCACCAAAATATCCTTGATGCTATTACACTCTGGTGAATGATTTTAAAAATTATTTTATTGCCTCCTCCAAAGACTGATTTTAACATCAGTAGATTCTTGACTTCACCCTTATTCATCAACATTATTTATCACTTCTTTTATTGAATTAGACTAATGCTTTCTCTGGCAGGAATCTGAAGCTGTTCCTAGTTACATAGATAACTGAGTCTCTTCTGCATGACTCTTGGAAAAAAACACATTTAAGCAAATCCAAAGATGGGAAGTGAGGCCTTCATGCAGGGGGTGTTCGAAACACAGATGGACCCAAACTCTGAGCAGCATCCAAGGACCCCCACTGCAAGGCAAGTGATGCAAGCACATAGACTTGCACTAAACCGCATCTCTCAGCGAGGCAGCAGTCACTCAGGGAGGCTGAGATGCTCTCTACTTTGATTTCTAAGTCTTTTTCATCAAAAGACGCATAAACTTTGCTCAGTGTTGTTGTAATTCATGGTTCTTCCCCTCCTTGCTCTCAGCAGATGAAGTCTTGGCATGGCTGAAATCCGTGGGAGCCTTGCCACCAGCTTCAATAGGGCCAGGATGTATTCCCATGCCTTCAGCTGCCCATCCAGCAGTTTAGGGCTTGGGAGCATTTCCCAGCTCTCTCTGTGATAAAAGTGGCAAAATGAGGAGTGCCGGCCAGTTGCCAATTTAACACTCGCAATAGAAAGTGGGCATTGTACACGCCTGGCAGAGCACAAAGCTGCTTCTCAAAGGGCAGCTGAGCATGAGTGTTCTTGTGTATAAAACCTGCTTCCCTCCTCTCTCCGTGCAGGCAGGTTTGTGCCCATTCCAACAGCTAAACCAGGGGCTTAACATGCTCCTGGTTTCATTATTTCACTAAAAAAGAAATCCTGGTGTAGCTTGAGCAGACACGTGTCATCTCTCAGCTGCTCCGGGCACACCAAGCATCCCTTTCAAGTTCGGCCGACTGAAGGCGCTGGTGGCCACGGGCCAGAGGAAATCACCACCCGGCTCCCCATGCTTGCTGCTGCTGGCCCATGTCCTTCGCTCGCAGAGGCTCAGAGCTGAGCGGTGGATTCCCGCTGGACCGGGAATTAAAGCGCATCGGCAGGGCTGGCTCATCAGCATTTAGGGGGTAAAAGGAGTTGCTGTGGGGCCTGACGTCTTTCTCAGAACAACGTGCACAGCTAATTGCTTCCCGAGACCAGCAAAGTCAGCACTGCTCATGGCTGCCAGTGGAAACAAGTCTTACAAAGCAAGCGGGTCTCCAGCGAGTGTAACCACTCAGGGGAAAAAGCCCTGAATGGCATCGCAGCCAGCCGGGTGAAAACCTCTGCTCAGCACGCTGCAGCAGACAAAGGCAGGAGAGCTGGGCTGTTTGAAGAACGAGGTTTTGAAAATAATCCTGAAAATATTATGATGCTGTGCAGCAAAGCAGCTGTAGGTCTTCAGCTGGAGTACTGCAGCCTGGTGTGGTCATCCTCTTTGTCAAAAAAGGAGGACAGGGAGAAAGGAAGGATTGAAGCGTGGATGAGGAAAGTCTGAAGGGGCTGTGACTCTCTTTAAAGAGAAGATTGAGATGAGAAAAGAAGAGGTAACTTCGCTTTTCTCTCTCTCAAGTGCAAGGACAAAGGTTGTCACATGAATGTGAAAACACAAATAGTTAAAATGAACATAAATTATACAAGACAAAATCACACGCAACTCTCTCCACCATAAAGATATAAATTAAATCTACAGCTCACTATAATCTGAAAGAACGTTTGGACCTTGCATGAATAGGATGAACACAAAATCATATTAATTAGGAAAAACTGTTGTACGGACACAGACACTCCCGTGTCAAGGCAAGTCAAACAGCCGTGGAGTTAGCAAGAAGTGCCCCAACAGGTTAATCCATAATTGGAAATACCGTTCTTGAGCTTGCCACAGGATCAGTGGCTTTCTTGGCCATAGCCACGTAGACAGGGCAGAGAACAAGGTGTGCTGCAGAGCTGGGCAGACAGAGCCCAGGCTGCCCCTGGAGATTGTTCAGGCCATGCTGAGCCATGACATGGGAGGTCCCAAGCCCATGTGTAAGGTGCAGCCTCTCTTACTCTGAACTGGTTTTCACGGGGTCTTCACCATGCAGATCTCGCAACCCTGAAGAGCTGAGGAAGGCATGGCATGCTGCCACTTATGCCTGGGACCAAACAAATTATACAGCTGCAAAAAATCCATGGAGACCAACTGAAGTGTCCCAAAGCCACAAAAAAGTGCTGTCTACAGATATTCTGGAGCTGTAGGCTGCAGTGATGGGGGGCCACCAGTCCCAGGGCCCTGGTTTAGGGACCCACAGGTGATCGGTAGAGATGGGGTGGGAAGGTTGGCTCTGTGGCCAGTACCCCAGGAAACTGAGCTCTTTGCTGTTAGCATCATTGATGGGGGCAATGAACCCCCATGTTTCATTTCCCAGTCCAGCCCCACTGAAGCCACCAGTTCAGGCACAATCCTCAGGGAAAGGCAGGATTTCAAGCTTTGTGCAGTGAGTGCCACAGTCAGTGCTTTCAAATGCTCAGACCATGTACCGGCTGCTCAGCAGATATGAGAGCAGCTTAACACTCTCTTGCCAAACTTAAATCCCTTCTTTTTGCTTCAGCATAATCCCCTTTTCTGCCTCAGGAATGTCCATTTCCGTAAGCAACTTCTAAGGCTTTCCGGCCTGCCAATATCGCACACAAGATCCTCTGCCTCTGCTGAGCACAGGCACAGCCAGCTGAAACGCTGCCATTAAAAACTCACAACAAAGACAGCATGCGAGATGCACTCCTTTCCAGCAGTGGAGAGCTTGCTTTCCACCCCCCCTCCCCTTCCAAAGCTTGGCAAAAAAGCACAGCATGTTGTGCTCCAAAGATATTTCCGTACAGGAGAGATTTCTCTAGAAAAGCAGGGCCAGAAGGAAACATGATTAAACTCAAAATCTCCTTACCCTCCCAAGCTCTTTGTCCTCCAGAGCCAGCACCCCCGTGCTCTCTGTGAACAGCTTCACCTTCACTGCAGGAAGCGCGTGTGTTGTTGTGAAGTCTCCTTGGGTGCCCCAGCTGTGAAAATAAGGACAGAGGGATGGTCAGCTCCACCAGCAGGTCAGCAGCACTACACCTTGGGCGTGCAACGGTTAACCAAAAATGCCCTGTCTGGCACAAGCTGAACTGGTTGGGCTCTCTGAGTGACAAGGGCATTAATTATCTTCTTAGGGAATTGTGGGACAGATGTTTGGAAAAAACATGATGGTGCTTTGGGGAAAAAAAATAGAGTACTTGGGAGCAGCATGAAAGCAAATTTAAGAGAACTTTTTTATTTAGAAAGAACAATATGTGTCCTGCAGCAACAGCCTGTATAGTCACAACAGAAGTTGAGGATTGAGGACATCTGCACCTAGGACATCTGTAATTGTTCACACCTCTGCTCTTCTCTTGGCTAATTAACCTCTCCTTGCCAGGTTGAAAATGAGGCTTGCTTTGTCTGAAGAAACCCCAGGTTAACCTGGGTCTTCTTCCAAGTCCCAGCCCAGGTTTAAGTTCAAGCCATTACACCAGGAGTAAGCTTGCAGAGCAGGACATCAGCTCCTTGGGGATGGGATGGCAGTAGCCAGGAAGCAGCCACCTCTCCAACTACACAATGAACTGAGACCACTGTCTGCTATTTGTACTCCACGAGTTATCCCCCAGCTGGTCCCATGGCTTGGAAAGGAGCACTATGGAGGCTGGATGACCCACACTATGAGAAACCCTGCTCCAGACATGCATGTTTCGAGATGACACCTGCAAGCTTCTGCAACCACAAGCTGCCTGAGAGTGCAGAGAACATTGGCCTCGTTCCATGTGGGACCCCACAGGCACAGAGTCCCAGACATAGTCTGCCAACACCTATGGCCAAACTTGACATTTTAAGTCTTACACAAGAGGAGCCCACCCCACAGCTGACCTTCCCCACACAAGTGTGGGAACCACAGCAGCCCTGCAGCCCACTGGAGGGAGGTTTGGTAATGGGTCTGAGCGTGTCATGCTAGATGTTGCCTCTCTCGATTCAGACATTTCGGGAAGCTTTGAGGACAATCCCCAGTTTGGCCACAGCCCACTGCACTTTGTTTCAGGGTCTTACCTTCCAGGTCCTGTTCCTATCCCAGTGAGCAGCATGCTGCAGATGGAGCTGCTGCCTGGTGACACCTGCAAGGGCTCACCAGAGCTGGGCTGGTGAGCATCCTTGTGGGGTTCTTTTAAAAGATCCCTGGACCTTACACAGCAGTCAGCTTTGATTTAGAGAAATCATAGGGAAAAGAAATCTGTGAAACACCAACTCTATTCAACACCCTAAGGGCCATGGCTTTTCAATTAGGCTCATGAAGAGCCTCCACAAGTTGTGCCACTCACACCAGCACGTCAAATCATTCACCTGTGCTAAGGTTTTTGAGATACAGGAGAACACTCCCCTCTGGCAAACTAGCACAGACTGAAGAGGGTCACAGAACAAAAAATAAGTGGACCTTGAACTAATGCCTATTTGTAAGGTTTAAACAACTTTGAAAGTAGCAGAGAAGACAAGAAAATACCTTCTACACTAAGAGGTAAAGAGTCATAATGCTTTTAAGTTTGAGACTTCACAGCTGTGTTTCAAGTTTTGTTTCTACAGCTTAGAAAGTTACAAACTTATGAAAATAAAGTCAGACAGAAACTTAGAGCTAAGTAAAGCACTGCTAAAAGCCACACTTGCCCTTGTTAGCAGAGAACAGCTCAGCCAAAGATGAAGGGCAGAGGGAGGGCTGGGGAAGAGTGCACCACTGCAAGGAGGATGCTCCCAAACATCTGATCATGCAGAGGCCCAATGTGAAACTAGCAGATAAAAACTGCTCTTTTTTCTTCTTTTGTTGTCTTTCTTTGCCTTTTTTTAAAATTCATTATGAGCTAGATTTCTATGCTGTTCCCAGAGACCCTGAAAATTCATCACACTTCAAAACCCATGCCAAGTTTACAAGCAAGCTTGAAGAATAATCACAGACAAGGTGCTTTTTGTAAACTAGAAGAAACCATGAGCATGCCATGAGCAATACCTCTGTGTAATGTGATGGAACACACACTGCAACTTAGAATACTGCAAGCCAGATGAGAGATTAAACCATACCTCACTAACCACTTCTATTCACCCCCATGCTATTAATGACACTTTCTCATTTGACACTATCCTCAAACTAGATCATCTGCTGAAGAAGGGCAGTTCCCTTGAAATGACTGGTAAAAAGGCTCAGATGACATGTGGTCCAGCAACATGTTCTTCAAACGTAAATACCAAACAGCAGGTCTTGCATTTGGAAAGTTATCAGGAAAAATAATTTACTCCTTCCTGTGCCCAAGGACTATGGTTCTACACTTTGCTCTCCTCTGAGCAAATATTGTCCAACTGAGCTTAGTAGATGAGCGTGCTCAGCGCAGAGCTGATTAATTAACTCAGTTTCTTCATCAGCTTTGCTCTGAAGTTTTCTCTCCTGGTGTCACTGTTCCACATCTTTCATCTTTTATGACGATTCATCAAACTGCCACCAGTGCCAGGGAGCAGGGGTTCAGCATAAATTATCTACAGCACTACACATCCAGTCAGATCCTTTGTATTCCATCTTTCTAATGTGTGAGCCTTCAGCTACCTACCAGACGTTTTAAATGCAAGAACCAAGAAACAACCTTGTTTTCTAATTGCAGCTTCAGGTCACAGGCTATGTTTTCTCTCAAAAAAACCAAACAAAACCAGTGTTGTCACTAGCAGGAAGATAATAATGCTTTGGGTATAAGAGGAAAAAGTAAGAAAATATCCAACCTTACACTGCGTATTTTGACAGCATCTGCTTTATAGAACTCATATCTCTGTTTACTATTAAAAAGCTCTTATTTGCTGAAGCATTCCCAGACCATATGTTATCAACAAATGTTACTAACCAAATACAAACAGTAATTTTCATTAGGTTTCCTTCATGAGAACAACATTAACCACAAAGGGAATAAATGTTTCAAATGGCAGTAAACATACATAGCAAACCCTTGACAACACTGTGGCGCTTACACATTCATACCCCCAAAAGCCCTGAAAAGATCCACATCAACAAATAGAGACCCTCAGAGTTGGGTTTTGTGCAGGTTGAAGTCTGCGGTGATGTCATTAGTTGCCATAGTGATGCTCAGCATAAGGCCATAATTCATGTCACTGAAATATCATTTGTATTCAATCTAAGTACGCAGTTTATCTGTGCTGTGTATTAAATTATTGTTCAGAAAATTAGCTCTGGACAGTAGTTAGGTATTAGGATCTTCTGGGGGACTAACAATGTAACAGTTTCATTTCCACATCTAATAATTAAGCAGGTTATCACTGCAGGAGTTTATTTGTTGGGAAAGTGCCTTGGGACCCATTCCGGACAAGTCTCATGAAGCAGCCACACTATATTGTCCCCATATCACAGAGCACATGCTGACATTCCAAAGCAATAATAGATCTGCAAATGAGGACAAATCATGTCATTCTATATACACACATACATATATAAATATATACACAAGCCATAGAAAAGAAGTACACAACCAGAAAAATCCTGAGAGTACTTTCTCAGTCAGGACCATATTAATTGTCTGAATCCCACCTGAAACCCTCAGCCCAGCATTTCTTACTGCCTAGTGTATCCCAAAGCCTGGAGCTGACCAAGAAATGCTGCCATGCATAAGGACTTTGCTAGAATTATCACCCTATTTATGGCATCTGTGCTGTTCCAGTGATATGACGAGGATATACTTACATCTCCAAGGTTTCTAGTTAGGCATCAAACTTAGGTTGAATAGCTAAACTCTTCTGGTAGCAAAGAGCTGGAGGATGAGTTATGCCCCAGGTACTAACCTGACAAATGCCGGCCCTTGTTTTACCTTTTACAAGCAAAATAAGATCATCGCTGTAGACTTTGTGTGTAAGTTTTAGGAACAGGCACCTAGAGGTGCCATCAGCTACTAACCAAACAGCCTAAAGTGCTGAGAATTTTTTCTAAACAACACAGAAAATAACTTTTATCCAGAGAGCAGAACTGGATGGCAAGGGAGGAAAATCAGCCTTGTCTCCCACTACCTCCATATGCTCACCCAACATGGAGCACCTGAAAGAAGACTTACCTGTCTGATTTCAGGAGCATTTGGGAGCTCTCACAGGCTCTGTCCTGACGGGCACACGGAAGGGAAGCGTTGCCGTTGCCAATGCAGGTGCCAGGCTGCTGACCAAGTTGTTGTCAGCTGTTTCAGGTAACATGTTTGCAATCTTCTGGCAAAGCTTCAGGTTGATGCTACTCAGCCCTTCCCAACTTATGGACAAAACAAGTAAGACTACCTGATCTCCACACATTGCCAGCTGTTTTTCCTCTATGATATCCCACTTATGTGGCCTAATCTACAGTCTTCTCAGGTGTCCTTGAGAGACATGGGCTTAATCATTTCTATTCATCTCTTGTGTGTAAGTTCCTCTAAGTGAAACTTTAGTACCCATGACCTTCCCAAAAGTGAACGTACTTGTTAATACCCAGGGGAGTGCATTAAATTCTTTCATTCATATACTGTGGTCTTCAGCTAGTCTGTTTAGTCCCTGCCTAATTTGAAATAGTGACCCTTCTTCCATCATTGCTCTTAACTTGATCCGGCCAGAATATCGATGCCTGTGATTTCTATAAATAATGAACAAGCGCAACTGAATTATATTGCTGGGCCATGAATCAGCCCTGCTAACCAGCTCAGCCTGTCAGGAGGCTAACATGGGAGCAGCTGGAGAGTGATGGGCTTTCGACGAGGTGACATTCAAACATGATCTACAACCAGTTTCCATGGGCTTCAAAACTGCCAGAGGACATCTTTGCTCCCTCTCCGGATATATTTATTGTAACGGGTTTGCTTGCTAGCTTGCGTGGAATAAACATGAAAAAAGCAGAAAATAAAAGTAAAAATGTGTATTAAAGGAGAGCTATGCTCTTCCCTCAGTGGGTTTACTCCAGGTGTGCATTATACTCAACATACACAGCAGTATCCTG